GGGAGTGCCATTGGTGCTTTAGCGCAGTTGGTTGAAGTGTTCCCGTTAATGTTTACTCTCTTTGACTATTTAGAGTGACTATTTTTTTTTATGTCTGTGTTTACCAGTCATCATCGACATCTAGGGATAAATTCTTTGAGAAAATTAAAACTATTTGGTTGGGGGTTTTTTCAACACGGTTTATTGGAGTGATGTTGGAAGTATTACAAACAACAGCTGACTACTTAATTGTAACGTCCGTTCCAATGTCCTTGGTTGCTTTTTGTTCTTGAAGTATAGATTCTAGGCCTGAAAATGAGCTACAGACCGAACAAGTAAGGCAAAACGAATGTGTTGTGTTGCAGTGTGGTCTCTCTCTCTCTCTCTCTCTCTCTCTCTCTCTCTCTCTCTCTCTCTCTCTGTGTGTGTGTGTGTGTGTGCGTCAGTATCAATGGTCTTTGGTTAGTACTACGCGCATTACTTTGTATTGCAAAGAAGCTACGTGCATTACTTTGTATTGTGCAAGGAAGCTGGTGAGATTACAGAGGTATATAAAATTCATTGAAATGCAGGATGGGAAATTGGTGGTGGTGGATGGTGTCTTATCTTACAAGTGTATCTTGTCTTGTTTTACTCACATTCTTTAACTTTCACAAAAACCTAATTTCTATAAAATGGTAATGTCTTTTTTCATGCTCTTTCTCTTAAGCCAGTGGTATAATTTGTTAAATAGGTGAGAAGGGCAGAGGAGGGAGTAGAGATATAATATTTAGAGAGGAAGACAGAAAAAGAATGGGCCGAAGAAAAAAAAATGGGTGGAGTAAAAGAGGTTGGGGGGGGGGGGGAGGCATGCTTGTAAGGTGAGTGTTCCCACTCCCTGTGCGAGTGAGCATAGCTGGCTCTGTTCCGTTGACAAGCGCATCGCGAAGCGACGAACTGGGGCACAGCGAGGCACAGGCTTAGTAGATCTACCCCAAGGTGCTTTTGGATCTTCCTTCGTGTATACGACGTCACGTTGTTTCACTTCCCGTGACATTTTGTTTTTGTGTTAGTAAAAATTTTACGGCACTTACAACACAGTTAGGTCATATGAATGCCGAAGATTAGAGGCGTTACTGTGGACTAGAGAGTAACAGGAAGTACAAATAATAATAAAAATGAGGAGAGATAAGGGCGATAGATGTTTGATAGGAAAGAAGGAGCAAACACCCGCCAACCACCCGCTTTTCTTCCATGACAAATTTTTAAAAGCCTCAAGATAGCTGGGTTGTTGGGTTTATAAAAAAACTTATTCTATACAATAATTGTCCGGTACAAACTCAGATTTTGATTACTTTTAATGTCCTGACGCTTGGTGTTGGAAATGTGATTAAAAGTAAATTTCGGGACGCCCCCCCCCCCCCAAAAAAAAAAGGGGAAAAAAAGAAAAATTAAACAGGTGTGTGTATACATGTATTGCCCTGGAGCCTTGAAAAATGAAAATGAACCATCTGGAAAACAGTTACTGTAGGAGGAGGAGCTCTTGCTTGATCATTTGTACCTGTATCTGTACCCATGAAAATATGACGCTTCAAAATTGTACGTGGGTGGTTGGCGGGTGCTCTGGTGTGGTTTGCTCCTTTTGTCCTATCAAACATCTATCATCCTGATCTCTCCTTCTTTTTTGTGTTTGTTGCTCCCTTGTAGCACCTCCAATCTTCGGCACTTTTATATGACCGTATTGTGTTGCAAATGCCGTAAAACTCTTACTAAAACTGAACCCGAAATTGTAAGTTTCATCTCTGTGGGTCCAACTGATGGGGCCCTTTGACCGAAGTGTTGTCGGCGTGGGTTCTAGTACCATCAGGATGTTCAAAGTATAGTTTGGTTTGTTGACTTCGTATTAGTTTTTAAAACATTTATTGTGGAGAGGGGGGGCTGCTCAATTATTCAGTCGATTTTCATTTTGGCCTTCACGTATGTGTATAAGTTTCATTTCTTAATTGACATATTTATTATGGTCGCTAACCCAGATTTCGGGGGTTTCCAGCAATCTTGACCTACATCGAAAGTGGGCATGGTCCTACCTAAGAAGTTTGGTTTCATTGGGGATGTATTTGTTTGGTTATAGAGAAAACTCTCCTTGTCTTTTAATGAAACTGAACAAGGGGAAAAAACTTCACCTTCGATTTTCTCAAACCAGCTTTTTTTTTTCGGGATAGCTCCTTTGTGCTTAAAAGCGACCATATATTATATTCATATTCACAAACGTCAGGCTACTGAACTCT